GGTGATGGAATGCTCGTTGCAAATGAATTCATACGACTATGGCATCGAAAAGTGCCCATTTGGCATGGAAAGACAAGTCAGAAATTTGGAGGTCGACAAATTTGTTGTTTTTGATATGCGTTGCGAAAACAACTCAAAACAACAAAACAGCGAAAAAGATGAAAAAATGGAGACACAAGATATCCATTTCAATTTGAACAAAGAAGAATCGACCATAAATATCAACAGGTCTGAAGACTCAACACGACCAAGGCTTGATTTGGAACACAACAAGTCACAAATATAACACAAAATGAATTTATCTTTTATTTGTTAATTTGTGTTATTTGTAAGTTGTATTGACTCATCAACTTGAATAAGAAGAATAACAACAAATCAATTCGTTTGACGTCTTACTGTCTCAATATCTGTCATAATAACAGTTGTAGTACGCAGACTGAAATACTAAATAACACGACATGAAGGCAACAAACCCATACAATAACAACGCAGAAAGTGCTCGATACCCCCATATCTTGATACTCTGATTTGATGAAAAGATGAAAAACAGCTGCACCATCCATATGACTGGAAAGACCCACCCAATCAAATACAACACTTTTGTAACTATGTGTGTGTCTTCTTGAGAACTGTTCTGTGTCACCAATGGTATTGTTTGTACTTGCTGCACTACTTGATAATGTGCATTTTGTGGTGGAATCGGGTACGAGTTTTGTGGAATGTAGTTTTGCGATTGTGTTTGGGTGTCAATGGGCACTTCTGTGTATTCCATTTTCGTATAAATTATTTAGATCCATAATTCTATTTATTGCACCAATATCGAAATTGATTCTTCTTTCAAAATTATTTCATATTCAAAATTCATGTTTTTATATAAACTGTTTTTAAAAACTCTGTACTGGGATGACCCGATTTTTTAGACAAATAATTTCTAAATATTTTTTCCTTTGCTTAACCCTCATTTTTTGTTATAAATATTTACTCGTAAAAACAAAATAACAAACATGACTTTTTTATTTTTTACTTGACAAATAAATCTTGCACCAATAATTTAATTGAAAAATACAAAAAACAAACTTCGGATTAAAATTTTGATTACCATAACACAAATTTGCCAAAAAATGAAAACACGACTATATAATTCGATGTCAGTTTTTAAATAATTACCAAGTCGTGTTTTAGATAAAAATGAAAAGTATAAACGAGTAAAACCAGCATTTAAAAAACTTTTAAGACTTTACAATTGAAAGTTTTTTTATTTTTGAACTGTTTATTTTATTTTAGACTCTTTTTATTAATAACCTTGATTGTTTAAATGTTTGTTTTATGTTGAAATAAACAAAAACTTATTATTAGTTAAAATGTTTCATTATTTGATGTAATGGTGTCCTTCATCATATCGTTTGTTTATTGTTATATTATTGTTTATCTTGTGTTTGTTAGAAATATGTTGTTTTACTTACGTTCAGTTACAAAATGGATCACTGACCAAATAACTAACCTAGAAAATCGGGGAAGATTTACCCAAATATTTGGGTAATTTCCCGATTTTTTTGTTCAATAATTGAAACTGTATTGATTTTTAAGGATTTAAAACTGTGTACTGTTGTTGGTTCAACAAACAGGAAAATAAAAAATAAAACAAATAAAAAACAGTAAATAATGGGAAATTAAGACAAAGGGTTTATATAAATTTAGGAAACGGTACAGAGTTTATAAATACAGTTTATATTGTGTAAATATTTGTCAAATGGACAACGTTTAAGACAAACTTTATCATTTGTTAATAATAACTTTATTAATAATTAATTAACTATAAAACACTTTGCATTTATGTATTTCAGTTAATTTATATTATTAGATATAATTCATATTTTTTGATATTTTTTTATAATTAATTCATATATTTATTATAATTGAATGAGCGAAATAATTTAATTACACAACTTTAAAAACACTTTCACATACCAAAGTACCAAAGCTCCAGAATCAAACGTTCTTTCAATCCATTTGGAATATGAAGAACTCTCTGAAAATGAGTTCTTCCGGGTGAAACTTGGGTACTGCGTTATATACCAATACCAAAAGTGTCGGGAAATGGTCTTATTCTCCAAACAAGTTTTGTTAGTCGATGGGGAGAATAATAAAGTGTTGACTGTTATTTCGAATAGCCCTGAGTAAGTCTCTCGTTCTATTAAAGTCATACTTTAAATTTATCCGATGACTCGAGAAGCATTGGGTCGATCCATTGGTTCTATTGGATTGAATCGGAATACAAGTTGGGTATTGTATTCCAATTCCCGACTTGTCCAATCCTTAAGTGATAATAAGGGAGGGGTTGACCTCGAATTTGTCCGACGCGCATCGTATGAAGTGAAGCTTTTTGTTATAGTCTCAGAAGAGGTAAAGTGGCAACACAACTTCAGCAGTTGGTCCATTTTTTAGTGTCTGTTCGTGTTAAGAGCGCAAGAATCACTGTGAATTCATAGTGATTGTGGTTGAAAGTCGAGTCATCTGGGTATGGTTTCGATTTTGTATTGCGTCACATTCTTCAGACGATCTATTAACACCTCAAAAGTATATCTCTTTAACGCAATGAAGTAGAACAAACACCCCAAATTGAAGATATCAACTTTGGAAATGAGACGCTCCCCTCGAATGGCTTCGGGGGCTTGCCACCCAGCACTCCCGCCATGGGAACACATGAACGACGCATCTCCAACCTTCTTAGCCAACCCCAAATCAGTGATTTGAACATCTATCAATATATGAATACGAGTCAACTTGGCATCATTTGGTTTTAATCCAATAACACGTATTCTATTGATTAAACTCGTCCTTGACTTTACGAAGTTGCTAAGAACGACTACAAACTTGATCTTTATGACGAAGTAAAAAAACTTTAACGAATTCAATGTTTTCGTTGAATTGAAGAAGATAAATAGCGTCTCTCTTTTAATGTTGTTTCTAAAAATACATTTCTGGTTGTAAATATTGAGTATTTGGTGCAAAATACTGGCAAGGATTTAAGGGATCATATTTGACAGATGGGTCACAGTGGAAATATTGCAAACATCGATTGTAATTGCAACAACAGTGGCAAGGTGGTGGTGCATGAAAAACGGCGTTTTCGACATCTTGTTGAGTTTCAGCTATTATATTCGGTTAATTTCGACTTTCACTCATCATAGCGACTTCAACACTTTTGTGGTGTTCCAATTCTTTATCTTCTGTTCCATTTTTTTCGTGTCGATCTTCTATCTCCTTGTTGTCTTGAATAACAAGCAAACTTTTGACTTCCTTGTCTGCAGGCTGTTTAGTGTGTTTGTAAAATTCTTGTATCACATCGATACTATCATCGAAGAAAAACAATAGTTCATAATTATCCAGTGTTGTACCTTCTGCTATTTCTTTAAATGTGTCATGTTCTTCAGGTTTTAAAGATTTGAACGTCCACCTTTCAACAGAAACATATTCTCCAAGCAACTGTCCATTTTGCAGTTGATGGTAAGTGTACAACGAGTCTCTGTTTATGTCTATCATTGGGTTGAACATCAAGGTGTCTCGAATTGAAATCAATTTTGATTCGGCAAGTTTTTCTTTGACTTTCAAAGTGCACTGAGTTTGGTAAAATGCTCGACACTGTTCTTTGTTTTCAAGTCGAAGAATATGAGAAACTCTGTCGAGATAATCGATGATAGAAATTGTGTTGTCCAATAACAGTAGTGCTTCGTGTTTAAGAAGTTTATTGATTAATTCAGCAGTGTTCCTCCCTGTCTTGTCCGACACAAAATTTTTCTTTATCGTTGATCAACGTTGAAGTTATTAATTCGATCAGTGCAATAAGTTCTACTCTTTTTAATATTTTATCATTAATGTTTTATGGGAACTTTCAGAGTAGTTATCCGTCCTGATTGCCTTACCAAAGCAACACCACAATTTAACTGGAAAGGTTGGTTTAAAAAAATTATCTCCGAAATAATTTCGAATCAAATAGTCCCACAGATGCGTCAAAGACGCTTTACTCACATTGTTGCTGTTAACCTTTTCGAACTCCTCGAACAACAATTGAAGTGTTTTGATGGTAATCAATTCGATTGGTAGGAGCGCAGTTCCAAGTATCCGACGTACAAATAATTTAAAGTGGTTGTTGTTAACAATTAAATTGATTTGGTTCATTCGATCTGCCTTGTCTTATTCATTGTCGTGGTTGTCTCGGCTAAAGAATATATCAACATATTCACCGTTTTTAGCTATTCTCACAAGTTATACAATTTTGGTATACCGCTTGTATCATATTGTTGGTGTTCGAATACAACAAGTTATTAACCTTTTTAGCAAAAA